CGCTGTCGGGGGTCTATCTGGACGCTCACCGCAAGGCGAAACTGGTGATTGACGTCGCGCTGCCTCAAAATCCCGACGGCGCTTTCTGGCCGCTGATCGGCTATATCGCCGGTCTTCTCGCGCCCGATCGCATTCCGCTGCTGGGCGGCCTGGCGTCGGCCCATCCCGGCCGAGACGAGCTCAAGGCCCTGTGCGCTGCCTTCGGGACCACTTCGGCTGCCCCGATGCTGCATATCGAGGGCATAACGCCCGAGGCTGCCGACGCGGTCGATCCTGATACGCCTGCTGTCGTTATCGATCGCGCACTCATGGCGTCCACCTGGAAAAAGCTCAATGCCGGCCCCGCGCAGATCGATCTCGTTGCCATCGGCAGCCCTCATGCTTCGCTGGCCGAATGCCGCGCGCTTGCCGGTGCCCTTGACGGGCGCCCCATAGACGACGCCGTCACGCTCATACTAACAGTGGGCCCGGAAACAAAGGCCAGGATATCGGCAGACGGAACCCTTGCGCGCCTCAACGCCAGTGGCGTCACCACGGTCTCCGATATCTGCTGGTGCTCGATCTCCGAGCCGGTTTTCCCGCCCACGGCCAAAACGGTTCTCACCGATTCCGGCAAATATGCTCATTACGGACCGGGCCTTTCCGGCCGGAATGTGCGGCTTGGCAGTCTTGCCGATTGCGTTGCCGCCGCCTTGACCGGAACCGCCCCACAGCGCCTCCCAGAATGGCTGGAGACCTGAAACATGCGCACATCCAAACTCATCCAGATTGTCGGTTGCCACGCGGAAGGCGAAATCGGCGACGTGATCGTCGGCGGGGTCGCGCCGCCGCCCGGCAATACCATCTGGGAGCAATCCCGCTGGATCGCCCAGGATGAAACGCTTCGCAATTTCGTTCTCAACGAGCCAAGGGGCGGGGTGTTTCGCCACGTCAACCTGCTCGTGCCGCCCAAGGACCCAAAGGCCGCCATGGGATGGATCATCATGGAGCCGATCCACACCCCGCCCATGTCGGGCTCGAACTCGATCTGCGTCTCGACGGTGCTGCTCGATACCGGCATCATCGAAATGCAAGAGCCCGAAACCCGCTTCACGCTCGAAGCCCCTGGCGGGCTCGTCGATGTTGTCGCCACCTGCAGGGACGGCAAGGCGGTTTCGATCCGCGTCACCAATCACCCAAGCTTTGCGCAACGGCTCGACGCCACGATCGAGGTCGAGGGCATTGGAACGCTGACGGTGGATACCGCCTATGGCGGCGACAGTTTCGTGCTTGTCGATGCGAGTTCTGTCGGTTTTTCCCTCAAGCCGGACGAAGCGAAGGATCTTGCCGAGGCGGGGATGAAGATCACACGCGCAGCGACCGAACAGCTGGGTTTTTCCCACCCCACCAACCCCGACTGGTCTCACATTTCCTTTTGCCAGTTCACCGCCCCCATAGAGATGGCGGATGGCGTCAAGACGGGCCGGAACACCGTGGCCATCGAACCGGGAAAACTCGACCGCTCGCCGACCGGGACGGGATGTTCGGCGCGCATGGCGGTGCTTTACGCGAAAGGACAGCTCGGCGTGGGGGAAGAGTTCGCCGGCATCTCGATTATTGGCAGCCGGTTTTACTGCCGGATAGAGAGCACAACCGATCTGGCCGGCACCGCCGCCATCATCCCCTCGATTTCGGGGCGCGGCTGGGTGACCGAAACCAAGCAATTGATGCTCGATCCGTCCGACCCCTGGCCGGGGGGCTATCGGGTCGGTGATACCTGGCCGGCGCGGAGTATCTGATGGCCGTGTCCCATATCGCCTTTCCCGACCTCGTGGCGCTCCTCGAAGCGATTTTCGTGCGCTTCGGGACAAGCCGGCAGGTCGCCGCGATCCTGGCGGACAACTGCGCGCGCTGCGAACGGGACGGCGCGAAAAGCCATGGGGTCTTTCGCATGAAAGGCTATACCGACAGCCTTGCTACAGGCTGGGTGGACGGCAGGGCCGAACCGGTTCTCGAAGAGGCGGCGGCGGGCTTTTTGCGTGTCGACGCGCAAAATGGCTTTGCGCAGCCCGCGCTCGCGCTGGGGCGCGATGTGCTTATCGAAAAGACCCGCGCCAATGGCATCGCCCTTTTGGCCATTCGCAATTCGCACCATCTGAGTGCCCTTTGGCCCGACCTCGAGCCGTTCGCGGAGCAGGGGTTCATCGCCCTTTCCACGGTCAATTCCTTTGCCTGCACGGTACCGCATGGCGGCCAGAGCGCGGTGTTTGGCACCAACCCCATCGCGTTTGCCGCGCCGACCCGTTCGGGCGAACCCGTCGTTTTCGACATGGCGACATCGTCCATGGCCAATGGAGACGTTCAGATCGCTGCCCGGGAGGGCAACCAGCTGCCGGCCGGCGCGGGCGTTGACAGCAATGGCAATCCGACAACCGACCCCAGTGCAGTCCTCAACGGCGGCGCGCTACTGCCGTTCGGAGGGCACAAGGGATCATCGATCTCGATGATGATCGAGCTCTTGTCAGCCGCTCTCACGGGCGGAAACTATTCGTTCGAATTCGACTGGTCGGGCCATCCCGGCGCGGCAACGCCCCTTACCGGGCAACTGATCATCCTGATCGATGCCGCCCGGGCCGGCGGAGCGCCGTTTGGCGTGCGCGCCGAAACCCTGATCGATGAGATGGCCTCTGCCGGCGTCAAGCGCTTTCCGGGCCAGCACAGGTTTGCAGCGCGCAAGCGATCGGATGCCGAAGGAATTGCGCTCGGGGTCGATGACCTGAACTGGCTCGAAGCGCTGGCCGCGGATTAGGTGGCGCGGGTGATCCCGGCGTTCAGTCCTGCACTAGAGCGTGTCCAGATAAAGTGGATACCACTTTATCGGTTCGGACACGCGACAAAACAAAGGTTTAGAGACAAGGATTTGATTCAATCAAATCCTG